ATGCGGAGGATAATTTTTTTGCTAAGGTATCTATATGAGCAGACCATTTTAGAGAATCGTCTATATAAAGACCTAAAAACTTGATTGAAGTCACCGTTTGGATCAGATTATTGTTTAAAGTTATAGGTTGTAAAGTACCTCTGTAAGACAATGCTACAGTTTTACTGGTGTTGAAACAAAGTCCATTCGAATCAGACCAGGACTTAATAGTCACTAGATCTTCACTTATGATAGATTGTAATGTCTGCATGTTAGAATTATTCCAGGTTACACTGGTGTCATCAGCAAATAAAGTAATTCTACCACTTATTCTTAAGTCTGTGATGTCGTTGATGAATAATAAAAACAAAATTGGACCTAATACTGATCCTTGAGGTACTCCACTGCTTATTGCTAGATTAGTAGAATCCTTACCATTCGCCCGCACCTGTTGATTTCTATTTTCTAGGTAAGTTTTAAACCATTGTAAAGGAGAACCCCGTATGCCATAAATTTGTAACTTATTAATTAAAATATCATGATTTACACAATCGAAGGCCTTTGCGAAGTCACAAAATACTGAAGCGGTGAAAAGTTTATCATTAAGTGATGTGTATATTTCATTAAGAACGGAAAACATTGCGTCGCTAGTGCATTTTTTAGGTAGAAAGCCATACTGATGAGCTGTGAGGATGTTATGCTTGAAAAGAAAGGGCAAAAGACGGTTTTTCATTAGCCGTTCTACTATCTTCGATAAGGTAGGCAATAACGCGATAGGTCTATAGTTACAGGTTTTGGTTTTGTCGCCACCTTTATGAAGTGGGATTATTATAGCTGTTTTTAGACAGTTAGGAAAGAGACCAATTTCAAAGGATTCACTAATCAGTGAAGTTAAAATGTTGATTACTACATCCGGTATATTTAGAAATATTTTGGTGGACAGGCCATCAATTCCACAGGAAAATTTATTTTGGATGTTGTTTATGGTTTGCACTAGTTCATGCTTGTCTACTGGTCTTAGGAAGAAACTTTCAGTGATCCTTTTAGAAGGTAGGAGGAAGGAGAGAGCATCCTGACTCGGAGCTATGTTAGATTTGATATTTTTACTTACATTTACGAAATAATTGTTTAGTTTGCTTATCAACAGTTAGAGATAGGTGAAGAGTCTAAAGAACTTTTTACTATTAATACCCATATAGGACTCTTCAGATTTAATAGGTTAACATATAGGGTTAGCTCAGCTCCAGGTATTTTTCAAACATTTATGGACACCATATTATCAGGGTTACCTAATACCAAATGCTATTTAGACGATATTTTAATTCACCGTCCCACATTAGATCAATGTCATAATAACGTCATTAAAGTCTTGTCTAGGCTTACACTGTGTCAAAATAAATGAAAAGAAATATAAATTTTATGAAAAAATTGTAGAATTTTTAGGGCATATAGTTGATGATAATGGTATTCATTAGAGGTTTGGCGTGATTTCACTATCGGTGATTTTATCACAGCTCCGGATGCGGAGCTAGAACTACCAGTTCCTTTTACTAAACAGTCAAAGTGATTTTTCGGAACTGTTTCGAAATGTTCGGAGCATTAGGATAAAAGAAAGAATTACTTGGTGCTTGGAAAGTTGGAATTTCATATCAGAGTAGGAACGGTCGGAGTCGGAATGGTGCAACGGAACAACAATATATTGTCGCGTTTGAGAATCCACATCGGATGCATCTGAGAGTAGTAAATCTTTGATCACGTGATTCAGTATACGTAAATTTAATGAGACAGATGTGTCCGATGTGGATAAAAAAACGCTCGAGATGTAAAAAATTCATCCGATGTGGATTCTCAAACGCGACATATAATCGTGTTTAGATAATCTTGTGTACGTTTTTTAAGAATATGACCAATAAAAATATGAATCTAATTAGTAAAGCGAATGTTTAAAAAATCACATATATTGGGAATACGCCTGAGATGCTAATGAAGTGGGATTTTATGGTCTGAGTTAAATTTCAAATAACTGTAGATATAAAATACATTTTTCTAATTTTGATATTTAAACTGACAGTTTTTGTAATCACTGCAACCATTTGCATAATGTTGAACATTATGAAACTGGTTTCGAAAAATTTATTATAGGTATCATTAAATGCGAAAAGAAAAGAAATAAAAATAAACCTTTTTGATTTTAAAATTAATAATATATTTTGAAATTTTATATTAAAGAAGGGCAGATTGTCTTATAAAAATAGAATTTGATTAAACTTACATGCCAGTAATAATGTTGTTTTGGTCCTTATTTTCCATTCTAAATCAGTACAAAATAGTTCAAACACAAGACACGACAAAACAACCCACTTTTTGAAAACGAAATAACTTTAATAAGCCATATAAACATTACAAGTCGTTGAGAATAAATTATACCATTTTTCAATATTAATATTACAAACATTTTTTAGTGTTTATTTGTATTAATAAACATAATTTTTTGTACTTTACTGGCACTTAATCTTGATCTACGAGTACTAATCAATTGTCCTGTTTTTGAGAAGATTCTCTCACAAGGCACTAACGTTGCCACAGTTCCTAATTTTTCAATTACTATTTGGGACAAATATGGGTAATTGTACTTATGTTGTCGCCACCAAGTAAGTGGATTTTCATCTCTGTTAAGTAAACCGTCCTCCAAATACCTTTGAACCTCTACAATAGCCCTTGATGTATTTGTACCACTAGGTTGAAATTTTTTTGCTTTCATGTCAAAATGTGACTATAGTGAAACAGTCGGTTTAGCTTTTTTTTTGTGGCGGACTCGTTACTGATGCTTCTTCAAAAGTTGGTTTGTGGTTTGTTGAATTGGCCACTTGATTCTCTTTTTCGGCATTAAGTTGCAAACTAAGTTTGTCACCAATTTTTTGGCACGATCTGCAACCATGTCGTCTGAAAATTCTGTGTTTAAAGCGGGGATCCAAGAACGTCGATATAATTAACTTTAAGGTGAAGGGTGAGAAAAAGTCCTTTATATCTCACAAGGAAAGTCAATGTTTAATTGTTTAACAAAACATTGAGTGCGACCGGTTTCGAAGTGTCATCACTTCATCTTCAGGCTCGCCTAGTGGAAAGGAGAATATGTGGTGTAAGGTGTGTTAACTTGGAAACAAAACGATATATAAAATAATAAAAAAGAGAAAACTCACCATACTCTCCATCCACTAGGGAATACTACAAAAACAAGTTTCATCAATTTTGGGTTGAAATAAATTGTAAAATGAACCGATTTACACGTAATAAAAAGTTAAAAATATTTGAAAAAACAAATATTAGTCAATTATAGTAAAAATTTAAAATATTCAAGACTATACAAAAACAAATCACATACATTAAACAGATTAAAAGATAAGGCATATTTTAAACATTGTTGTTTTTTAAACAACTAACATTTTTTGAAAGGAGACCTGTCAAGTTAAGGCCTCTACAGGTGGTGGTAAGTATTATAACGAAAAAATTCTTGGGTAAACTTATGACAGGGTATAGTTAATAAGATGTAAACTATGAGTGAAGAATTATTTATTATCTATTATATAAGATTTGGGCCATGAACCAATCACCAAGTGTATGTGATGTTGTAGGAAGAAGAAATGACTGGGTTAACTGTTGTGAAGCAACTGAAGAATAAAAGAAGAAAATGACGCATGTGGATATCAGACAATCTAACCTAATCTTTACACGTGCTCGTTGGTTTCTTATGGGAAAAAATATAAAAATTACTTACTGAAATGTACCCCTTGCAAGAAGATATGTGAATAGAAATAAAGGGGGGAGGTTAAAAAGGAAGTTAGAACGATAAATTTAGATTAGTGTTGAGAAAACAGGAGGAGTTTCTGACAATATCTGGGCATTTAAGCAACCAACAGGATTTAATTTTAAATGTCTCAATATCTCGAGGTTTTCGAAGCTATTAAGAGTAAATCTATTGTAGGAACTATGAAGGATTTCTAAACCTTCAGTTGAATCGAAGTCGTGATTTGAGTCCAGTAGGTGGTTGGCAAAATGTGAAAAACCTGTTGTATTTTGGTTAAGACAACGTAAATGTTCTTTTAAACGGATCTTGAAATTTCGAAATGTGCGTCCCACATAGAAAGAATGGCAAGATTTACAAGTTAATTTATAAATTCCAGATAAGTCAAAGGGATCTAATTTATCTTTATTATGAACAAATAACTTATGTAATGAAGAGGGGGTTTTGAAAGATACTTTAAAGTGGTCTTTGAGTAAGCTAGCCACTTTATAGGATGCTTTTCCAATAAAGGTAAGAGAAATGTATTTGTTACTGGTGGTTAGTTCATGTACCATCTTACCACCTTAAAATTACCTCAACTCACACATGGCTACCCCCCTTGTCAATGATATAATTAACGTTTTACTGCTTTCAAGGTCAGAAAAACGCTCTTGGATTCCACTTTTAATTTTCTGTGCCATTGCCGAAGTTAAAGCAAATTTTAAATTGACTTCGGCTTCGTCATCACGAGAGGTTAAATTTTTATAGTTTTTCTCTAATCCTTTGGTAAGGATAATTATTGAGGAGAGAGTGACATACTTTTGTCCACTTATAATTTTCGTCAATTTTTCCATTGGATCCAACACGATTTTGATTTCGTTTAATACTTGCCACTCTTCCACGAATATAATAGGAATTTAAAAGTGCCATCGTTGTTCTAACGACATCTTCCAATTCCAACAAACGTTCTATCATGTAAAATGATGAATTTCAACGGGTTGATACGTCTTGCAACAGTTTCTTCTGAACAGCTTTACCCTGTTGCTTTTGTACCTCGAAAAATTTTGCAGTAGCAGTAGTGCTACGTTTAAAATAAGCAACAATTTTTCTAATTTTTTTCAACACTTCTTCTACTACAATCATTGCATCTTTCACAATTAGATTTAGGGTATGGGCATAACAGCCAAAGAATCACCATTTTTAAACATCTTTTATTGTCTTTTTAATATTGGCAGCATTATCAGAGACTGCCAATAAAATTTTGTTTTCTAACCCCCACATAATTATTTTTTTTTAGCTCTTCTGCCAAATGTTCAGCAGTGTGTGATTGTGGAAAAACAGCACAATGTAGTAAAATTGATTTAATATCAAAATTCTGATTTATAAAATGTACGGTAACTGCCATATAGCTTTCCGTATTTATTGATGTCCAGCAATCTGTGGTAACTGTGACAGATTTAACATATTTTATCTCCTCTTGGACATCTGTAAATGTTTTCTCATACAATGCAGGCAACAATGTATGTGTAATTGTCTTTTTATTGGGGAGTTCGTAGGTTGGATATAGACACTTTGTAAAATTTCTAAATCCCTCGTCCTCAACTACACTAAACGGTTGGAAGTCTTTAGTAAACAAGTCCATTAAAGAATTGTCTATTTTATTTTTTTCTCGTAAAGGAAGAGTTTTGCGCAAATAGGGTAACTTTGTTTGTAGTGTATTTCCTGGTTTAATTTTAGCAGATTGAGGCTGTGTAATTGTACATATTATACTATTAGTGGATGGAAACGGTTCAGTTTCATCCGACGGAGAAAGTTCAATTTCAGGCAACGGAGGCGGTGCAGCTTCAGCCAACTGGGACGGTAGAATAATTGCACGATTTGTTGACACTTCAGATGAAATTTGCACTAAAGGATGTTTTCTTTGCATATGGCGTTTTAAATTACTAATAGACGTATTACAACTAATACTCTGATTGCATAGTGTGCACCTAGCTTTATCGTCCGACGTGGGATTAAAGAAATTCCACAAAACTGATTTTTTGTTTCTCATGGACATATTTAGTACTTAATAAACTGAAATTACACTATAAACTGTTCTAATAAACTAAAACTACACTAAACTGTTCTATATAATTAAGTATAAGGGGTTAAAGAATAAAACATTCTTATTAATCGCAATTTAGTATTCATAACATAGAATGATAAAAAAATGTTTCTCAAAAATATGATTGTTCCTAAATATCACAAATTTTGACGTCCCTACTTAAAAAAATGTGTTTGTTTTTTAAAATGGTACTATCAAAAAAGGGTGTTGCTATTAAAAACAGTGATTGTCATAAAAATATATATGTATATAAAAAAATGCACATTTAAAAAACACGTTATCACTATTAGAAATAACACGCTTACATCAGTTTTTTTAATGGCAACACCCATTTTGATAATACCAATTAAAAGAACACAATTTTTGCGTAAGAAGACGGCTTTAGTGATATACTTACAACATATTTTCGAGATATTTTTATAATCATTATTACGAATGCTAAGTAACGTTCTGTAAGAATTTTTTTTTTCTCGAAAATATTTATATGTAACGAACACCAAATTCGGTGTCCATATGTGAAAACATGTTCTCTTGTAATTGGTACTATCAAATAATGATGAGGCCATTTAAAAAAAAACTGATGATTATGTCTTATCTCCAATAGTGAATCGTGTATCAAAGATGCGCATCTTAAAAACAAAATCTTACCATTTTTTATAGTTATTTGTCCAATAAAGCCAGAAGTATGGTATTACGCTAATTATAGACAACCCTGTATATGCTTGCAACCCAACTCTGTACATAACTATTTTTATTAAATTAATAAAATGAACTTAAATTATGAGGCTAGAAATAACAAGACCACATTTTCATCGAAAAAAAAAATTTACCTAACAATAGAACTTTACACAAATTGTCCACAAATCCTTAATTAGCTGGTCACCTAAATAAACCTGGTGTCCTCAGGATAATCCGAGAACAGGTAGTGAGTTCCTAAAATCTCGGTGTAAATATGAGATTTATTGCACCCTTAAATCATAAAATCGAACTGCTTAGTTTATTCTGTTAGCTATATTCTTTAATTTACATTTTTTATTTTAATATATTGTTTTACAATGATATACCGTAAAGTCGGGTGACTTTGACCCGCATGGGATGACTTTAGCCCAAATCAGTAAATAGTTATTTTTGTTCACAAAAAATTATACGTCCTATTTTTAAAATAAAACTCACGCTGGTAAGGTATTAAAACTTCCCAAAACACTTTATTTAAAGACAATTGGACACTTACGCTTTTTGTAGTATAAAAAATTTACCTTATTGCAAAATAATCGAAATTGAAAGGTGATAAATTTGTATGAAACCAACAATACTGTTGTTTGTAATATTTTTTGTTATTATCTTTACCGTAAGCAATAAATATTTTTTAATGATAAAATGTGTTTACTATTAACTGTGATGGGTGGCTTTAAACCAGCAAGTAGTTTTATAAAGAAAACAATGTAAAATGTCAAAGTCCTGCGGGTGGCTTTGCACACACCTTTTTTATTTTTTATTTGAAAAATTAGACCATTTGAGATATTTTTGCTTAATAATTCTTAAAATATAACTGAATACTAAATTATGGCGAAAATGCGAATTTGGATTTGCTTTTATTTAACAATTGAAACTAGGTATAACTTTTGACAGTGAGTCAAAGTCACCCGACTTTACGGTATCCAAATTAAAAAAAAATTGCTTACGGAGAAGTGTAAATGTTTAACATATTCGCATTAACAAAAATGTAATAAACGCCTTATATACTGGACGGTTTAGATCCTAGAGATATTTTTGTCATAAATACGAGAACATAGTAAATCTGACGCTCTAGAGATAGGTACCCACGTTTAACAGTCAGATTTTTTTCACATTGTCAAATAATTTTAATAGACTTGAAGTACACAAAAATGTTGTGCGTTTTTAGTTATTTGCTATGGTATGTAGTTTAGACTATTTGAAACATGACTAGGATACATGAAATAATTTAAAATAACAAATTTTAAAATAATTTTATTATTTCTAACAAAAAAATGGTCTTATACAAATCAAATTGGCACTTTATGTTAAAACTCCTTATTTTCAAAACCCAATTGAAAAAAATTGATGTGTTTAGTTATTACAGGCTTTTTCCGGTAAATGTTTTCCGAAAACACATTACTTTCTTCGCATAGGACAGACAATACCTAGGATTTTTTATTATAAAAGGAAAACTTTAAATCCAGTGTTAGTTAAAGTTGAATTGCCGAAATACACAACCTAGAAAATTTTAATTCTTTGAAAAAAATTAATATTCTCATTCTCCGAACCTCCCTGAATTCTTTGGAAAGCGGAGAATTGTCCACCCATTGGCAACATTGAGCACTTTGCATCGCACTTACAATGCCAGATGTATCCCAGATGGAAATTCAATTGCCTTGGTTCTGTGACGCGATAACCGAAAACAGCTACAGCCCTCCGGACCGGGATAAATAAGCGTAGGTACATGTAAAAAAAGAAATCGTTGTTCTCGGAGCAGTTCCGAGAAATCACGTTAATTCATCACAGCTCCTTCTCCGGAACTGTCACGGTCTGTCACAGCTCCTTGCAAATCACATGTTTTACAAACCTCTAGTATTCATCCTACTAAAGAAAAAATCATGTGTATTGAACAGGCCCCCACCCCTCAAAATGTAACACAATTAAAATCATACCTGAGTCTTGTCAACTATTATGGAAAGTTTATTCATATGCTATCGTCTGGTCTTAAACCTCTTTATGATTAATGTAAAACGGATACCAAATTTGAATGGTCACAATAATGAGAAGAAACATTTAAACTAAGTAAGACATTTTTAATTTCAAAAGATGTATTAACACATTATGATCCGCGACTCCCAATTTTTATAACTTGTGATGCGAGTGGGTATGGTATCGGTGCTGTCCTTATTCATAAAATAGATGATAATTTCAGACCTGTTCTTTTTGCATCCAGTACTTTTTACCAGCTCAACAAAAGTACTCAAATTTAGAAAGGGAAAGTCTTGCTATAATATTTACTCTAAAGCGGTTTATTAAATATATTTATGGTAGAAAATTCGTGCTAGTTACTGATCATCAACCTTTACAGTTTATATTTGGAAAAAACAAGGGGATTCCTGTGACTGCTGCAGCTAGGTAAACACGCTGGGCTATAACTTTGTCAGCATATTACTATGAGATTTAATAGTAGAAAAAAGAAAGTTAATAGCAAATGCTGATGGCTTGTCTAGTGTACCTATGCAAACTAAAACTGAAGTTGGTGGTTCTCTTAATTCTTTTAATGTCTTAAATGATTGTCCATTTACTTTTGAAGTTTTTTCTTTATTCGGTCTACCTACTCAAATAATATCATACAATGGACCTTCTTTTAATTCAGTGGAATTTGTTCAAGTCTGTCAAGTTAATGGAATTAAGCCACTCAAGTGGAAAGAGCATTATTTTATTATAATGAAAAAACGATATCAAAATATCTTATTACAAGTCGATTATTAAATTTCTTATTTACTTATAGAAATACTCCATCCAACCTTTGAAGCAAAAGTTACTGGGTATAATACCAAAGATTTACGGCTATCTGCTCTCAATAATTTTGTTTATGTAAAAAATAAGTTTACCAAAAAATGGTTAGTGGGTAAAATTGTAAAAGTATTTAGTACCACAACTTATCTGGTACAAATCAGGAAAATAATAATATTTGTACATGCTACTGATATTCGAGTTCGTAACATAGGAATGTCAAATAACCCTTGTCCTGAAACAAATGAAATGAGTGTGAATCGTGATAAATATGACGGTAAAGTGAGAAGTTATCTTGACGAAACCTTTGTAACAACAAATGAACGTCGTAGAAGTTCCAACTATCTCTTATGAGAATGAACAAAATCAAAAACCAACTGTAAACGTTGGAAATTCTACAAATACGTTTACTAATGATCAAAACCAATCACTAGTTACAAATGTTGGCACTTCTACAACTAAACGTTCGGGTAGAATTATTTAACTTCCTTTAAAATTAGATTTATAATGTATTTTATTTTAAGTAGGGGGAAAATGTTGCGAACGTACCCTATTATTAAGTTGTACACATGTTTGTCAGGGTCGCCGTCTGCCAGATGTCAACTCTAAAAAAGATGTCTTGTCTCGTATCTTGAACGGGGTCCCGAATAAAGGCAACTACCTTATATAAAGTGTTTTATTTAACTAAATATATAATAAGTCAAAAATACAAATACATAACAAACAGCAGGTCAATAAATCCACCATCTTATAAAAAAGCGCTATGTGCTAATCATATTGAAATTACGAAAACTTTTATATCAAAAGCAATTAATTATTTATCAACTTTAAAGTTTTTGGATGGTCAATTAGTTGTCGAGTCTAAAAGGAAAACCGGTTTTATTAGATTTCTTTTTTATTAGTTTTTTTGTTGTATGATAAATTAATTTTACAAGAAGAATCATTAATTTACTTACTTTTGTATAAAGTTAATAAAGATCATTTAGAATTATTTTTTTGTCTATTCGATCAATAATGTAATAATAACCCAACTTGTCGCCAATTTACTGCTGCTTACCGATAGTTTAATCAATAGCGACTAGGATAGTGAATATGAAGAAGAGCCAGAATTTCAGGAATCCGAAAGTGAAACTGAAGAAGTAATTGAAGAGCCTAATTATAATAATTTTCCTGTTGTTACCATCAGACAATTGGCGAAGAAGCTTAAAAAATCTGAACAGTTGTTAGTAAAATTCCGAACTTGTGATTTTGGATTTTTTTGCTATGACTTTCGATTATAGCCTGCGGCGTTTTGACCCTGCCTATAAGTCTTGCCCCCCTGGAAATTTTTTGAACGGCGCCCATGCTACGATTCATAAAATGTTTGTGTTTGGCGCCGACTTCAAAAAGTGATCATGTAAATAAATATTTTGCTACCTATGCGTTTGTTAGTCATATGTGATGTGTTAGACGTAAAATTTGAGTAGATGGTAGATGCATAGTTTATAGGGATAATAGGATGCAAAAAATATTTTGTATTTAAATTAGTTAATGGAAAGAAGAAGAAGGGTATTTATTAACTTGCTTTATAACTAAATTATGCAATTATTTTATACTTTGTAGTGCCAGTTTATGTGATTTTTCTGTCCTGTTCTATTAAATTTAACATTTTTTTGAAGTCTGTTTTTTAAAATTACTTTTATTTTTCCCTTTTTAGTGATGTCAAATATAGAAATTTGAGCATGCGTCTCGTATGAGAAACCGTCTGGCGAATGAGTCAGAAAATGACAAAAATGAACGATTAGCGCAAAAAAGAAACAGAACCCAACCTCGCAAGACCGTGAAGAAAGGCTCTCTAAAATGCGAAATTATGTAAAAAGTAAACTTAGTAATGAAACTGTGAAACAACGCGAATATCGCAAGTCACTTATTCAAGAGCGGTTATCTAACGAGACGGCAGAACAGCGCGAACATCGCATGTCTCTTATTCAAAAGCGCTTGTCTAACGAGACGGCAGAGCAGCGTGAACATCGATTGTCTTTAGCCAGACGTCAATCTGCACAATTAATACGCAATGAAAATGCAGAAGAGAGATTGATTCGACTGTGATATGCATGCCCGTAGAAGATTGGAGAGTGTTGAACAATTTAAATCAGCGATTAATGTGTTTGCTGACGTGGCATGCAACATTTGTAATAAAATGATTTATCCACAACCACGTGCTATGTTACAAACAACAAATTTCGATAATTTACTGCCTGCAGATTTAATCGCTTTAGGTAACATTGTGACGTGTATTCAGTGTTCAAACAATAATACTCAGGCATACTGGAACAAAATGACCGTTTCTGACATTCCTGCAGAAATAGCCAATTTGACGGAAATTGGGAAAAGATTTTTGTTAAGAATAGTACCATTTTTACAAATTATTCGTGTAAAAAACCGGTTTAGTCAAGATTGGTGTAAGGGACAAGTTGTTCTCTTTGCCAAATATATTATCGAATTGGCTGAGCAACTTCCGCTTCAACCTCATCAAGCGGGGTTAATTATAATTACAGAAAACCTTGAAAATCTGCACAGATCGAGAGAATTTCAGGTTGATATGATGAAATTAAATCAAGTATTACAATGGTTGCTAGTTAATAACGCACTCTACAAAGACGTTCGCCCATCGTTTTCCAATATCATAGATCTTTCTGTTGTAATACAAATTAGCGAAGCACCTGCTAATATTTACTTAGTCTCAGCAAAACAAAGACAAGCAAATACATATACGAGCATTGACGGAAACATGACAATTTTACAAGGTTCTTTTCATCAAGGCAGTGAAAGATTTAGCACTGAATCACGTGGTAAACAATGTACAGCCATTGCAACAATTGCCTGCACTGCTTTTAGCCTTCTTGATCCTAATGCATTGTATAAAAGTGACGTCGATTATATTGTAATATTGGGAGACAAGTACTATCGTGAGTGTATTGTTGCTCGAGTTAACCCAGACAATCGGGAATTAAATCGCGAGTACTTAGCTGTGACAGAGCTATTACCACGAATCATTTTTAACAGGCAAGCAGTTGATTTGAGTATCCATTACGAAGCAGCCTATAATGGACATATTGACAACGATAATAGTGCCGAAGGTTTCCCTAACTTGAAAAGCGCTTTAATGAGATTTTTTGAGAGCAATAAATATGGCATATTAACGTCAAATGCAATTACAGTCGCTGTGCATTGCAGAAATGAATCTGAGACGCTTTCATATTGGTTATTTGATTCCCATTCCCCTCATTAGGGGGTACGGCCTGTTGCATGCGATTCTACAATATAAATCAGTTGCATGACATTTTACGTCGCAATTATATATCCCTCCTAAAGACATAACTATTTTTACTGAGTCTATAATGTTAAATGTTTATTCATTGACACCGATATTGATATTACCGGAAATGGAACAGCCCGAAAATCAGATGGAAAAACAGCCGATGATTGACTTTCAAAAAACGTAAGACCGTTTGCTACTGCCATATCATCAAACTGATAATCAAATGTTGCCCCAAGTTCCTAGTGACACTGATGAAAACGAGCCCCGGTATGTATATACAACAAGTATGCTTCACACTATTGATGGTGTACCTGATTTAGATAACGTTATATCAGTCAATAACAATGGTCTAGAAAATGAAGTAAGACTTGCAGAAATCACTCGTAAAACCGCACCACCATTAAATTTAGAGCGGGAACGAAGAATGGAGGAATTGTGTTGGTATTTTTTATTTCCCGATGGAACAAATGGATTTAGGAAAGAAAGAAATATTCCCATTACGCCCTTGGACTATTTCCAAGCCAGAGTGATGGGTTCAGAAGCACTATTCCAACGAAATGATTACCTTTTTTTTGCTTTGTCTTTTGTGGAATACTTTCGCGCTAAATCCAGTGTTTCAGTATCCTGTAGGATGCGGCAAGATTACAGGGAAGAAACACCTCAAGGACTAATAGATAACATGCATCTAACAATGAGGAACGTACGAGGATCTGCTTCCTACTGGAGACAGTGTTGTTCGGAATTGATTGCCATGGTTAAAAGTCTCAGAGCGCCGACGTGGTTTATGACATTCTCCTGTAAAGATTTAAATTGGCCAGACATGACCAAAACATTACTTATTGCAAACGGTTTGCGGAATATTGCTCGAAATTGTTTTATTGAAAAACATTTTTTCGAAAAACATTTGCTCGAAAATAAATTGACTCGAAAAATTTTTTGTTCGAAAATAAATTTGTTCTAAAAATGTTTTTCTCGAAAATACATTCGCACGAAAGAACATATGCACTAAATATGATTTCATCGAAAATATATTTGCACGAATGAGCGAATGATTGAAAGGTGTGCATTACCGAACTTATGCAAGGCCGTTATGCTCAAATTTTAGGAGGTTAAAGCTCGTACTTTGTGCTCCACTTCTTTTCAAGTAAAAAAAAAACGCCAAAATGCAAAAACGCAAAAATTGCATATCGATTTTAATTTATTCGAAATGTATACGCTTATATAACATTTGGACTCAATTAAAAGATACTAGTGTTTGAACCGAAAATTATGGCCACTGTGTTTTATATCTTTACGACTTGTTTTTGTTTGTTATCGTCAAAAAATGCAGTTTTTATTTACCTAACGAATTTATTTTATCATCTTAAAATAATATTCATAGACGTGTTACTTGGAAACAAACAAAAATGGATATACAAGTTTTGTTTTTTTGGTTAACTTAAAAGAAGTGTTTTTTACACTCCAAAAATTTGAAGTGACACCTTGTATGAGTAGAGGTAGCGTACATATCCCCATTGATACATAAATGAATTGCAAAAACATTGCTATATTATAATTTTTTTTTTATTGTCTTGCTCTGACTTCTACATCTATCAAACTTTGACAATATGTTAAACGACATTTTCGTGAAAAGCTTTGCTTTTAAAATGTCTTTATTTGTTGAAAGTCAGCGCGGTAAGAAAATATTGTATCTTGAAGGATTCTTTTATATAAAAGACAGAGTAAAAGATGACACGACATACTGGAAATGTGAAAGAAGCAAAATAGGCTGCAAAGGTCGACTTGTTCGGAGAAACGAAACAACGATGAAGGAAGACCAGAAAAAGTAGAGGTGAGGAAGGTGTTACAAGCAGTGAGAGAAGGCGCTCAAAAAACAGTAAATATTCCGCAGGTTATTCTTTCAGAAGCCACAGGAAGCTGTTCAGAGATAACTTCTGCAAATTTGCCGTCCATACCAAGTATGAAGAGAACTATTCGAAATATAAGGAATAAAGATAATAATTTTCCGTCAATACCCAATGAAGCAAGTTCGTTGATATTACCAGAAGATTTTAAAATAACCGACAAAGGAAAACATTTTCTATTATTTGATTCTGGGGTTGATGATACTGACCGGATACTAATATTTGGAACCAACGAAAACATTCAACATTTATATTTTTCGCCCTATTGGTACATGGATGGTACCTTTAAAACCGTTCCTAAGCTATTTCAACAATTGTTTACTATTCATGGAAAAGTAGGCAATATAGTAGTACCCTTAGTATATATTCTATTACTAAACAAACTTGAAGCAACTTATGTAAGGGCCATTAAACAAGTCAAACTGCTCACATGCACATTTGGTCAGTGTCTAATGCTCACTCATGTCGTTATTGATTTTGAAAATGGTCTCATTAGTGCAATCCAAAAACTATTTCCAAATATTCAAATACAGGGATGCTTCTTCCATTTCAAACAATGCATTTATAGAAAATTGCAAAAATTTGGACTAAAACAAGAATATGATACAGATTGCGATTTTGCGAACAAAGTAAAACTTTTAGAAGCTTTAGCTTTTCTTCCTGTGAACCACGTACATAGAGGTTTTGACATTATTTTAGAGCAAACTAATTTTCCACCGAAGATGCAAAAACTAATCGATTATTTTGAAGAAACATGGGTAGGAAGAATGGAACGCAGGGCAAGGAAAAAGCCTAGATTTCAGATTGAGATATGGAATTGCTATCATAGCATTATTGAAAATATGCACATTACAAATAATATAGTTGAAGGATGGCATCATGGATTTCTTTTGATGATGAATTCGGAAAAACCTTCTATTTGGAATTTTTTGTCAACTTTAAAAAAAGAACAGAGTTTAACTGATCTCAAAATTATAAATGAGTCTACTGGAGTAAGGCCAAAGAAAAAAACTTATAAAAGCATAAATATTCGTATAAAGAAAATATGTGAAGATTTCAATGATAATAGAGATAGAAAATTATCTTAAGAGCGTTAGTTTAATATTGTAAAAATTAAATAAGTGGATAAATGTCAACAATTGGTCACCTCAATAATTTATTGTATTCTTTAAAAATTTTGTTAAAATAAAAATATGATTTTAAATTGTATTTTGTATTGTCTGGCGCTAACAAACTTTTACTCTGTGGTCTATATCTGTCACAGTTAGTTTAGAAAAATTTAAATGACTCCATGCCGCACAGGTTAGGTAAAATTGTTATTTTTTTTTTAATTTAGCTAATTTTATGTATATTTTTTTTTTGTTATACAACTAGCGATGATTCCAGGTTAAACAAGTTGGGTAAATTTGTTTTTTTTATTTGTACCTAACATACTTATTTTTATGTGTATGTCAATATGTGATAATACTATTAGGTACTTTACCATCTCAGTTAATATCCCTCCATACAGTATATTAGAGTGCAATCAAACGTATTTCATATTCGATCAATTGTTCATTCGACAAAATGATCTTGAGAGCAAATGATCTTTCGTACGAATGTACTTTCGTCAATATGTTTTATCGAGCCAATTTATTTTCGAGCAAATATATTTTCGAGGAAATGTTTATTCGAGCAAATGTTTTCGAGCAATTGTTTTTCGAGGAAACGTATTTCGAGCAATATTCCGCAAACCATTTGGCGGTGACTTGCGTAAAGCAGAAGCACTGTCATTTCCCGAACGTTTAGAACTGGTTCAGAAATATCCAGTAGTAGTTGCACGTCAGTTTACTGTACGTGTAAATGCCCTAATACGGTATTTAAAAAATAGTAACACCTGCTTGGGAGGTTCTGTTCAGGATTACTGGTATCGGATAGAATTTCAAAATAGAGAAAGTACGCATCTACATATGTTGTTGTGGTGCGATGGGATTCCAGATTTTTCCACCACGGAAGGCATAGAAACAATTGAAAAGGTTGTCTCGTGCTCTTTAAACTGTGATGATCCGTCTCTGCGCAATTTGGTTGAAAATGTACAAATACATAAACACACAGCCACCTGTCACAAAGATTGCAATGATAGTTGCTGTCGATTTGGATATCCAAAAGTACCAGCAGTAACCACAACGTGTTTAGGTCCTGATGAAGCGCTGTCTAACAATGGAAGATTTTGTGTACTAAAAAGAGCAGCCAATGAGACCATGGTTAATAATTACAGTCCAGAATTTCTTTCTCTGTGGGAGACTAATATGGATATACAACTCTGTGGCAACGTTACGGCTGTCGCGTATTATGTGGCGAAATACGCTAGTAAATGTGAGCCTCATGATACAGGAGTAGTTCGGGAAGCAATTAAAACAGCAAAAATAAGTGGTGGCGCCACATGGAATAAATTGTTTGCCGTCTCAATGGCTATTTTGTCGCAGCGATTGGTTAGTGCTCCAGAATGTGCATATCGTCTTGGTCATCTTTCACTAAAAATGAGCAGCCGCAAAGCAGTATTTATCAACAGCTGTAAAATGGAACAAAGATTTCGACTGATGCGTTTCGACGGGGATGAAACTGCTATATATAATAATAGTTTCGACCGTTACGTGCTGAGGCCAGAACACTTGGAAAGCACAAGTCTCGCTGAATTTGTCGTCCGTTATAAGACTATATCTTCTACAACGTGAACTGAAGATGAAGGCGATATAGAAATGAGAGATCTTGACAATGGGCCATTAAGATACATTACATTAAGAGACAACACACGAATGCGGATACGTAATAAATCAGCAGTATTACGCACGCGATATTACACCATAAATAGCGACAAAGAGGCATATTATTAGAGCTTGCTTGTGTGCCATATTCCGTTCAGAGATGAAAATGAACTTTTATTAGAAGGAGAATCGGCTGAAGAATGTTTCTTGACGACAAGGAGAATTGAGACCCTCTTCTTAATTATGTTACCTCGGAAGAATTTGCCCATGCTGAGCAAGTAATACAGCAAGCACTCGCTCAAGCAGCTGCCTTGAATGCCGTTCGTAATACGCGCACTGACAGTACTCGAGACGACCCAGTCGTGTGTGTTGATGTAGGTACAATATATGACCAAGACGACTATTGTGAACATTTCGAACACGCAGCAATGTCAGATGAAATATTTTTTGGAAATGTACGCAGGTTGAATGTGCAGCAAAAAAACTCTTCCAAAAAATAACACAGGCTATTCAAACTAATTTCAAAGGCGACAACGAAAAATTGTTACTGTTCATTACCGCTGGAGCAGGTAGCGGCAAGTCATTCGCACTTAAATTACTTGTAGAACACATAAAGCCATGTTATGCTCATACCGTAGACGTAATTCTAAATCCCACATTCGTCGAAGTAACATATTTAACTGGAGTTGCCGCTCGCCAAATATTTGGCAAAACCCTACATGCCGTTTTCCATTGGCCGATTGAAAAAGGAAATGCTAGGGCATACACGCACATGACTGGTAACAAATTGCAACAAGAAAGACGAAAGTGGCGTTACATTGACTGGTTGATTATCGATAAAATCTCAATGGTGTCATACGAAAACTTTCGAATGATAAATATGAGATTACAAGAGTTTAAAAATAATGATCTCTTATTCGGAGGAATAAATGTACAGCTTTTTGGCGGCATAATGCAGTTGCCTCCGGTGAAAGGGAATTGGTGTTTCGTGCAACCAGCATGGTGCTCGGCAGAAGTCAACTTATGGCATCAATTTTCCTTCTTTGAATTGACAATAAATATGCGGCAACAAAATGATCACGATTTTATTGATCTCTTAAATCATTTAACACGTTGAACACCGACGCAAATTTTCTGGTACTGCCCTGCACCCTAACGAAGGAAATCAAATTTAATGATGATCTGATTTTGGTATTTGATGTAATTTGTTTATAAAAATGTTCTTTTGTAAATTCAACGCCATTTTGAAAGAGACTAGTTAACTGGTCGTCGGGGTATGCAAAGGAATTCCAATGAAATACCCCGATGACTAGTAAACTAGTCTCTGTTATATTTAATGAAACATGATGAATTTGAAAATCCCTTTTATTTAATAAAAAACAGTCGATAAAGAACACAGAATTTAATGCATTTGTAACAGAGAAAGCGTAAACAATAATAAAAAAATTCACATAAGAAAATTATAAATAAAAGAAAAAATATTTATGTCAATTCTACCAAAATAAATTTTATTTTTTGTGCCATTCCATGAAGCAGGGGTAAGCGCAAAGACTTGGTGATTCTGGACACAAAGGACACATATACCTCGACTGTTTCCTTATGGATTTTTTTGTGCAATTTTTGCACCTCCTCATTACATTTTTATTTTTTTTTCGTTTCTGGTATGGGTTCCATGTAATGCTGAACTAAGTCATTGTCATTTTGGACTTGTTCTTTCTGGTCTGTGGCAGCATCATCACCAATTAGGGCAGTAACTATATTTTCCCGGAAAGATAACAATCTACATTTATCGTCTTTTGTTTTACGGTATAGGTAATGGGCATTCCATATCGATATGTCTATGAGATGGAAGAAAATTTTTCTATACCATCTTATAGTTTTTCGGGGTGATGAATAATAGGCCATCATTTGGTCGGAGCGATCTATCCCAGACATATATTTGTTATAATCAATAACACACTGTGGCTTCACTTTATTTCCCCTTCTATTTTGCACCTCAACCATTGAATGCTTGTGCACTGTACTTATCATTCGAACACATCTTTTATCTTTCCAGAAAGTCACCAAAACAGGGCCTTTTCTTTTGAAGACTGCTTCGCCTTTTCTAAGCTTGGTCTTGAATAGTGCTTTAGGATTTCCTTTTCTGTTCTCCCTTAGTGTTCCAGTTACATATGTTTTACGCTTGATCAAGTCTTCGGCCAATTTCACGCTATTATAAAAATTATCCATAAAAAGCCAGTAACCTTTTCCTACATAATCTTTCATTAGCTCTTTCACTACTTGTTCGGTGTGTGTTGATTCATTAGTAACTAATGTTCCCTATCCTGTATATATAATAAAATTTAACACAAATCCATCATTTGTGGTAAGCACATACACTTTAATGCCATACTTATGGCTTTTATTCTGTATATATTGCCTGAACGCCAGTCTACCTCGCCAGGGAATCATAGATTCATCTAACGAAAGGTTTCTTTCGGGAATAATAGTTTTTTTTATATTTTCCCTAAGATGTTCTATTATCGGTCTGACTTTGTGCAAGCGGTCGTCTGCATCTATAGTTGCATGGTCGACAAATCTCAAATTCTGTAAAATTGCTTCAAATCTGTTCCTAGACATTGTCCGTCCAAAAACAGGATGATAATAGATTGATTTACGACTCCAACAAGTTGACAGTGTAGGAAACTGAACGTTTCCTCGTAAGATACATATCCCAAGAAATTTTTTCATTTCACAATTTGTCAAATCCTTCCAGTTATTCAATTTCTTAGCCTTGATTCTTGTTCGTGTTTTTTCTAATTTTTCTTGGGCTCTCCGATTAGTTTCTCGTACAACGATGTCAATAATCTCATTCGAAAATAAAAGATGAAAGAAATCTATAGGTTTAGAGTTCTTCTCTAAATTTATATCTATACCAGCAGTAGCTGAGAATGGTATGTCTACAGGATCTTCATCGTCAGATTGCCACTCCTGTTCCTCAGGTAATTCATCATTATCATTCTCATCATTTGACAAATAATGATCCTCACTTTCTACAGAATTAACTTCAGTTTGAAATTCATCTTCATATAAATCGCTGCTTTCACTATCTTTATCACTTGGTTCGAAGTCCTTATCCTTTAGAGAGTCGTCGCTTGAAAAAGGATCTTCATCTTCAACATCGCTTTTTTCTTCATTTAGATGATCAGCAAAATACTGCAATTCTTTTTCAGTGAGTTGCCTTTTACGATTTGACCTTGCAATTATTTTGGAAGTTTTACTACATCTGCAAAAAATAATACTTTATTACACGTTTTTATTTATAACGTAAATCTGCGACTTTGTATCATCCATCTTATGTAAATATTATTAAAACTGCCACACAATACCCACGAACAGCTTCCTAGAACAAGACTGTCACAGACTAAATAACATGACCGTAAATTAGTTCATTTACGTTCTTATACTGTATTTCGGCACTGATCCGGGCGACATCTTTTAATGAATAGCATAACTGCACAGAAGACTTGTAGACTAGTCCTGATATCATAGGGATCCAACAGTGGGTACTAAGCATAAAATTCAAGCCCCAAAACGTGCTCCAACTTTACAAAACTTCCTTAGTGATGTATACAAATAACGACTAGTAAACTAGTCTTGGGTCATAGGGAAAAACCTCTATGACTTGTTAACTAGTCGTCGGTGTTCAACGTGTTAAGATTTGGCGAGCTGACAACTGCAGAATTGGAGTTATTGTGTGAACGACGAAGGGTGTCGTTAACAGGATAATTTGAAGATGGTGCTGTGGTTCGCATATATCCTACAGTTAAACAAGTTGATGCATACAATACTAAAATGACCGCTGCTAATGCTGAAGAAAACCGTATGCACAAGATCCACGCAATTGATGAATCACGTAAAGCAGCAACCTACGGATAACGTTATTCCCAATGATGTTAATATCTGCTTCGGTCTCTTACTGACAATAGTATTAGCCTTCGAGTCTCGTCTTATGTTGAGACGTAACATCGCTGTTTCGGATGGACTCGTGAATGGGGCAATGGACATTGTGAAACGGTTCAAATGGCCGGAATTACGCAGAGATCAAATGGAAGAAGGAGAAATGTCAGATGCTGTTCTCATTAAATTTGTTGATGAATCAATAGGTACCAGATTAAAAGATGCTGACGGCTACGTTTCTATTCCACCAAGGTGTGCTACATTCCAAGCAACTAAAGGTCATGGTGATGTAGAGCGTCGAATGTTACCGCTTTTATGTTGGGCTGTAACCGTGCATAAACTCTAGGGTACAACACACGACAGAGCTGTTATAGATTTGGGCAAAAAAAAATTTGCAAAGGAACAAATATATGTAGCTCTCAGCAGAGTTAAAACTTTGGAAGGAATAGCTTTATCTGATTTAGAACCATCAAACCCCACGATGAACAAGCTTTAGCAGAAATGCGACGATTAAGAAATTTGATTTCTGACAAAACGTAACCTACGGTAAATCATATTGGTTTTTTACAGTGTTTTTTCTATTGTTATTTTCTATTGCTAATTTTAACCGGTTAATTAGGTAATTTGAGGTACTACAAATATCCCAATACCATAATGTTATATTATATTATGTTATCTTAGGTATGACCTAAAAGACCTATTGTGCCAGTTAATGTCGCTAATACAGCAAAGAGAAGACCTCTATTCTTTTCAAGGAAGTTTAAAATTTGTAATGGCTTTAAGTTAAGAAGATTCCCCTCTTCTATTTGGTATGCTCCTCCTAAAGGTACGTTTACATCTGACATTTATTGCATGAAATTTATGTCTGACAGTTGTTTACTCCAGTGTAAACAAACAAAATTTTTTTGACTGTTTACACTGGAATAAACAACTGTAAGACATAAATATCATGCAATAAATGTCAGATGTAAACGTACCATTAGTATAGTACCCTTGGATTCTGGAGTGTTACATATTCAGTCAGAATGTTAATAGAAGTGTCATCCTCCTCCTCATACAACCTGCACACACAATCTTCAACTACCCTCAGTTTACTAAGCTGTCTTTTGAGTCGACAATGCCCGATGCGGATCCCTGTTACTATGTAGTCTATTCTTGCTCAGGCAGCTACAAGCTTCCGATCTTTTTTAGTTATACTCACAGAGAAGTATTTCAGCCTGTCTTTGCCCCAAGAGATTGTTCCAATTATTGGTTGTTCTACTGCCCAATTATTTTTTAATCACCTAATATTGTGTTATTGCTAATATGGTATCACTATGTAGGTGAAATTTCAATCAAAAAGAAAATCTAAAAACTAGGCGCGTTCAAATCTACAAAATCAGTTGAAATTGACAAGCAATTTAATGATATAAAAAAGGTAATTTATTGTTAAAAAATATTTAGCCTCTTCTTTTTCTTCTCTACACCAACTGCTTTGTCTGCTTGTATTTCTCCCTCTACTTATCTGGGTATGCTGATATTCCTTACCCGCTTAAGTTTTTCCTGTTCCTCCCGTTGCTATCTCATCCGCCCTCTCCTTTCCTTAATTGGACAACAAAATTTCGTTACCTTCTTTAAATTATTTTTTATTCCAACTTTTTAAATATCAGTACAATTGTATTATTCTATTCAAAATGATAATATTAATATTCTCTTTTATTCAACCTTTTTTATTTTTCTCTCTGATTTATCTAAGTTAATTTCTGGTTGACAATCTTCTGAACTTCCTATCTAATATCCCTTCATAGACTTAATTAGATTTTAAATCGCCCAGCTTTGCTAATTCAATTTTGACACTGACAACTAAATTTTACTATGCAATTCTACTACCTGGCGATTTTCCATATCAATACACTGTCATACATATGAGTCAATCAAAAAGATAACTTTCTTTTCTTAAAGTCCGTTTAAAGATACATCAAATATCCCGAATCGTACTTTAAGAGAATTGTCCGAGTATCATGTATGTATTCGTATAAATTAAAGAGTTTCGTTATTTGCCCGAGTATCATTTATCTGCTTGTAAGAATTGAAGAGTTTTATTATTTTTCATAAATCTCATCATAAGATCTTAACAAATTTTATATGAAACTACCCCTAAAGTAACTCATTTCCAACACAAAAAAAAAATAATTGAATTCAGTCGACGTGATAATAGTATGAGAGCCCACTGCAAATTTCGACCGTCATCTGATAACGAAATGAAATATGCTCCAAAGGTATGTAATAATATTGTACTTTATCAAACTGCACCTGTGCCTATCCCTATCCTGAGCAAAGTGGTTAAAAAAAAATTATATTATATTCAAAAAATCACCTAAGACATGACAGCGACAATTGTGTTTTCCCTGAAAATTACAATCCTAATTCATAGTGAACCTAGCTTTTAAACCTGAATTATTAATATTTTTACCTACATTTTAAACCATGTGTATGTGTGAAAGGAAGAAGGATGGCATTGTATAAACCATTTGCAGAGATAGTCAATAATAATTATAAACTCTTGTTAGACAATTCTTTTAAACCATAATCATAGTAGTTTTTTTGTCATTTCTAAGGCAACCTATAAAAATGAATCACAATAATAGACATACAAATAAATTTTTAAATCAGCAAACATTGATTCATATTTTTAATGATTTTTACCTACTAATCGTGGATAGATGTTTTTGTTCGATGTTAAGAGGAAGAAAATGTTTCCCTTTAACGATATACATCAAGATATATTTGAATGTTATTTTCTGGAAATATTTAAGGGCAAACAAAAATAGCGCTGTCATGCTTTATGTGATTTTTTTAATATAAAATAATTTTTTTAAGCCACTTTGCTCAGGATTGGGATAGGCACAGGTGCCATTTGGTAAAGTACAATGTTTTTACATGCTTTTGGGGTATATTTCATTTCGTTATCAGGTGACGGTAAAAATTTGCAGTGGGCTCTCGGGCTATAAAGAATTAGTCGCCCATATATCGTGCAGATGCTTTGGTAAATTGAAGATTTTGATGACTTTCTTATGGATCCTATCATCAGATCTTGATCAAATTTATATGGGACCACCTCTAAAGTATCCTCTTTTTAACAAAAAAAGAATCATAAAAATCGGACATTATGATAAAGAATTATTGCTGAACATACATAAAAAAAATATTGCGACGAATTGAGAACCTCCTCCTTTTTTTGAAGTCTGTTAAAAATGAGAAAACTTTCCCCAATTTGTCAAAAATGGCAAGATATATTTTATCCATTATGTCCACCTCTGCACCATCGGAACGACTTTTCTCAAAGGCAGCCCTTGTGATTACCAAACATAGGAATCGGTTGACTAACCAATCAAGTAAAAGTCAGTTGTGCCTGAATTCTTGGCTGAATAATTTATTATTTAAAAAGTATTTCGACTAATAAACAGGTTCCATTAAATTATTTTTTTTTTTTCAATTAAAATCTTGTGTTAAATGTTCTCATTCTTACACTTCAAATAAACTGCTAAAATTTTAATAAACTGAGATTTTATTTACAAAAAGTTAACTTTTTAAGAATCAAGACTTCTTGATTCTTGACAAAATTTCTTGATGCTTGATGATTGACTCTTGTCTTGATTTTCAAAATCAGACCCACAGTACACAAACGACAAAAGAAAATGTAGAGAAAGCCATTACTATAACTAAAGTGATCCAAAGATGCTATAGAAGTATTACTGTAATGTTTGTCTGAATATTTTGAAATATTTCTATTATACTGTTTTCATTATTAGGGTAAGCAGGGGTAATGCCGCTCACCGGGTAATGGCGCTCACTCCAATAACTTGATAAAAACTGTGCTTAGCAACATGTCACGTAGCCTGAAGTGCGGTGGGCGGGACGCAATAGCAGGCAGCGATAAGTAAACTCAGTCAGCTCGCAGCAGAGTATTTTAGTCGGCAAGTCCAGAATATTCGTACTTTTTATTGTTAGTATTACTTTTCTAGGTACTTAAACATTGTATTTAGCGATAACGTAAACACTTAGATACAAAACGATCGTTTGGGGTTATACTGCTCAAGTGAGCGCCATTACCCCTTGGTGACTTTATTTATTTTTTTACAGATATGCCCAGAAATCGTCAAAGGACTACCGCCAAAACGGCTTGGAGCGAAGAAGACCTTAAAATATCGATTAAAAGAGGAATGTCCAAAAGACAAGCGGCAAAAACATATAACATCCCATTCATTACGTTAAGAGATCGACTTAAAAATAAAAATATGAGCAGTCCAAGACTAGGTCGTAAGCCTATTTTACTCAACAAGAACATAAAATAGCTGAACAGATTAAGCTGCTGGGTTCGCTATATTATGGACTGACCGTCTTAGATTTGCATAAACATGTTAAACAAAAATTGTCAAATTGTTTTTTAATTTTAAACACAACAAGAAAAGTCCAACATATTTGTTTCTGAAATACATACATATCGACTTACAGTAAATAGTAAAATAGTTTTTGATTTTTTATTTAAAAAAAAATCGAAAATAAAACAAAAATTATTTAATGATAAAAGAAAGGCTCTAAGCTGATTTACATCACTGTCATAATCTTCTAAGTAGTTAAATATTGCAAACAATGGGTGGTATGAAAAAAAACCGAAGTACGTGCTAATACTAGAAGTATTAGCATTTTCTACAAAGTATATACTTCAAAACTAAGAAGGAACTCTATTTCAAAGTAGATACTTTTAATTTTTCCGGAACCTACTACACCAAGTAGCACTCTCGTGAAAATGACTAAAGTATTTACTGCAATTTGAAGTACCGACTTCTTACAGTAGATACTTCGATTTCAAGAAGAAATTTAGTATTTGCTTGACGTTAGCGAAGTTGGTATAGCAGCAGCTTCTCTGAGATTGGTACAGTTACTTTTATTTGAATATGGATGAAATACGCAGAAGAAAAATATACAATGAAAGAAGACACCCTAATGATGATGTTTTGTATCATAAAATATTCCGGTAACTTAAAATAAGGTATACATTTTCGATCATTTTTTAATTCCGTTTTTCTTTTAGGTTCAATAGGAATAACGTATCTTACCTAGCTAATACATTTCTGACAGAAGCAAACGAAACTAGAGGCTGTGCGCTCACACACATTCAGCAAATGGAAGTGTTTTTAAGAAGCTTAGGTATGTTAAAATAAAAATTAAATAGGAAAAAGATGCAAAGTATACCCAAAATATAATAAATGACAAAATTAAATAATTAATTTGACTATCGTTGTTTAAGGAGACCCTGGATTTCAGCTAGGTGTTGGAGTTGATGTTGGGATCCATCAGACAACT